GCCATTGGGACCAATGACCTGAGCTGGATCTTATAGACTCGTGTAATAGAAAGAGAGAACCCATTCCCAAGCTGTTCTCTGAGTGTCCCAGGAATACTGAGGCACACTCAAGCCACATACTTATATGTAATAAATAATAAAATAGTTTAAATATTTAAAAATAATATGGTGAAGAGAGATGGAGGAACACATCCATCAACGTTTGACCCCCACACACCCTTCTACATATTTGCATAAACACTCACACATTCACATAAGCATGTACACACACACACACACAACAAGTGAACAGAATAGGAGCGCGCCAGGCAGAATCTACGAGAAGAATCTACTGGTGAGAGCCTGAGAGCCCCCTTTCCACTGCCTGTTGCCATGGACGACGAGTGGGGAAGGGCTTTCACTCAGGTGGGTCTTTGTAAGCAGTCCTGAGCAGGATGTTCGGCCAGGTGCCTTCCAAAATGAGCCAATCTGAGCATCACGGGAAACCACAGCTGGTGACCCTACCACCAAATGCTGGTCTAATAGACTGCAGGGATTTCCTGGGAACATTCCAGAAGTAGGTTAGCTTTAATAACAGCAGCAGGGGGAGAGGTTACTCTGTCAAGTGCTATTCTGAGTACTGAGCATCTTGTTTAATCCTTAAAACAACCCTCAAGTGAGGTGTCCCCATTTTATAGACAGAGAGACTGAGGCTCAGCAAAATTCATTCATTTGCTCATGTTGCACGGCTGGAAATAGCTGTGAGTTGTCCTCTGGCCTCTACATGTGCCGTGGCAAGTATATACTCACATGAATAAATAAGTGTAACAAATAATACTATAGGGGCTGAATGGCTTAGCCATTAGGAGCGCTAAGTATTCTTGCAGCGCACGTGAATTTGATTCCCAGCACCCATATGATGGCTCACAACCATCTGTAACTCCAGTTCCAGGAACCTAACACTCTCTTCTGGTTTCTGTGGTCACTAGACACACACGTGGTGCACAGACGAAAATGCAAGCAAAGTACCCATGCACATATAATACAACAACAATAATACATTAAAAAAATATTGTTGGTGGATCAGTGATGGCGCACACCTTTACTCCCAGCACTCGGGTGGGAATCTCTGGGTTCAAGGTCAGCCTGGTCCACTGAGCGAGTTCCAGGACATGGAGAAACTGATTCAAAACCAAAACCAAACAAAAAATTGTCAAATTTAAATGATAAATCATAAGCCAGACAGTGGTGGCACATGTCTTTAATCCCAGCACTCAGGAGGGAGAGGCAGGCAGAACTTACTCTGAGTTTGAGGCCAGCCTGGTAGACAGAGCAATTTCCAAGACAGCCAGAGCTACACAGAGAAACCCTATCTCAAAAAACCAAAAATTAATTAATTAATTAATGATGAATCACTGTATATACCATGTTGTAGTTGGTTTTTGTTACTCTTTGGTTCTTTGTGGGGCATGCCTCCCAGCTTCCTAATAAATACACATGGAGGCTTATTCTTTCTTATAAATGCCCGGCCTTAGCTTGCTTGTTTCTAGCCAGCTTTCCTTAACTTAAATGATCCCATTTACTGTTTACCTTTTGGGATTTTTCCTTTTCTTCTGTAATCTTACTTTTACTCTTACTGAGTGGCTGGCTGGCTGGCTCTTTCTTTTCTCACTCCTTGATCTCCCTTGCTTCTTTCTAGACTTTTCCTATTTATTCTCTCTGTCTATCCTTTCTCCTACCTTGCTATTGGCCATTTGACTCTTTATTAGAATAATCAGATGTTTTAGACAGGCAAAGTAAGACAGCTTCACAGAATTAAATAAATGCAACATAAAAGAATGTAACACATCTTTGCATCATTAAATAAATGTTCCACAGCATAAACAGATGTAACACGTCTTAAAATAATATTCTACAACACCATGTATTCCCATATATATGGAATATATATCGCTGAGAACTCTTTACATTGCTGAGTTACAGACAGTTGTAAGTCATCATGTGGGTGCTGGGAATCGAACCCAGGTCCTCTGGAAGAGCAGCCAGTGCTAAACTGTTCAGTCATCTCTCCAGCCCTGACTTAGTACTTTTTTGGCTTTACTGGAGTGCTGAATTCAGATGTTTCCTGGGCGAGTGATAAGGGGGTCCTGTGCTATCAAACAATAGCAGTGAGCCACAGCCCCATAGTCAGTCCCTGATGGCAACTGAGAGGTGATACCAATATTCTACAGCATGCTGTGTCACTGCGACACTGTTATGGGCTGTGGGCAGGGTGGAGTGACTGTGTTTTCTAATTACCATATTTCTACCCTACAATGGGTTATAGAAATGGAAACAATGGAACACCTGTACATAGCTGTGTATTATGGATATATAAACATTTGCCAAAAATCTGATAGGCCAAGCAAGTTCTTTTTTTTCTTTTCTTGATTGTTTTTGTTTTTTGCTTTTTTGTTTGTTTGTTTTTGTTGTTTTTTTGGGGGGGTTGTTTTTTGTTTTTTTCAACACAGGGCTTCCCTGTGTAACCCTGATTATACTGGAAATTGTTTTATAGACCAGGCTGGCCTTGAACTCACAGAGATCCACCTGCCTCTGCCTCCTGAGTGCTGGGATTAAAGGCCTGCACCATCACCGCTCTGCCCTCGATTTATTTTTTGAGAGAGCATTTTATGGAGCCTAGGCTAGCCTGGAACTGCTACATAGTCAAGGATGACTTTAAACTTGTAATTCTTCTGCCTCTACCCTGTCAGCGCTAGGATTACAGGTGTGAACTACTATACTTGCTTTACTTGGTTCTAGGGATAGAACCCAGGGCTTCACGCATGTCCAGGTAAGCACTCTACCAACTAAGTCACATTCCCAGCCTTGTGCACTCAACTGTAAGTTTATATAAAGAGAGCATTTTAAACTATCACATAAATAAAAAATTTCTAATATAAAACGAAATGATTTCAAATAGACTCATCTTTAAAAGTTCCTAACACACAGTAGGTGTTTAATGAACAGGAACCGTCAGAAATACTATTACCATTCACAAGCCATTTACAGAGCGCCTATTATGTGCAAATCATATTTAGTATCCATCGTGAGGCATAGAAATGTAAGACAGTGTCCTTGCTCTGAGAGCGAGCGAGCGAGCGAGAGAGAGAGAGAGAGAGAGAGAGAGAGAGGAAAGGAAGGAGGGAGGGAGGGCGAGCAACCAATGCACCATGGTAGTGTTTACTTTAGATCTAATGAGTGCTGTAGACAATGTAGACTTCAAAGAGTTGAAATAGAGATCGTTTCCAGCTGGCCTCTTTAGAGGAAATAGGGCTGGAAGGAGGCTTTGAAAAAAGGACAAGAATTCAGTAGGAAGATAAAGGGGAAAGAGCATTGCTATAGCAGAAAGGAGCTTGGTTGGAAGAGCTGAGGGTCCTGCTAGGCAAGCAAGCGTACGGGAGGCTGAGTAGACACATGACTTGGAATGGTTGGGTGTGTGGGAATCCTTAAGCAGAGCAGGGCCAGCACCAGCACATTGCCTTTCCCCTGACAAGAGCATGACCGTGGGTGGGCTCTGGTCTTTCTAGTGGACAGGACCAGCCAGAAGCTATTGCAAACTTTCTTTCTTTCTTCTTCTCTTTCGGGGGGCGGGGTGAGTCAGGGGAGGTGAGGAATGCACGTGCAAGTCCAGCATGGAAAGTAGAAGACAACTTGCATGCACTTTCCCCCTTTAACCACGTAGGTCTCAGAGATTAAACCCAGGCTGTCCGGCTTGGAGGCAAGCACCTTTACCAGCTGAGCCATCTCACTGCCTCATGGATTTTCTAACATTTCTTTTTTGTTTCCCAAAGTTTGATTTTATTTACTGTCTATTATTTTATTATTTCTTTTTGTTTTGTTTTTTTTTTGAGACAAGGTTTCCCCGTATAGCCCTTGTTGTCCTGGAACTTGCTCTGTAGACCAGGCTGGCCTTGAACTCAGAGATCCACCTGCCTCTGTCTCCAGAGTGTTGGGATAAAGTTGTGCACCACCACCGCCCGGCTTATTTTTATTTTTAATTATATGCATACGTGCGTGTCTTTGTTAGAGGTTTGTGTGCATTAGTGCAGTTTCCCAAGGGTGTTAGGAGACAGTGGCATTTGTTTTGTGACCGTGCATGTTGTAACGATGGACGGTAGTCCCTGGGACTGTGTGATATGCTGCGTTCAGATAGGAGTGCTGGCTATGCTAACTTCATTCCCAAAGTCTGAGCTTCCTGAGTGACAGCAAAGGAGGCAGTGGAAAGCCAGGGGCCCACAAGGTGTGAATCCCCAGACTGGCCTCTGCTAGCCAGGACCAGGTGGCACAAGACAGTGTGCGAGAGATGGGACCAGACAGTAGGAAACGAAATCAAGCCCTTGAGCTGGGCACTGAGGGTGGGGTAAATAGTGAAGAATTTCTGACAGTCTCTGGTTTGCCCTGCCATCAGCAAAGTGCCATCCCATACATGGGCCTAAAAACAAGCTAACTAAACAACGGACCCTAGCAAAGGCACCTGCTACTGAGTCTGACCCAGAGGCTGGAGATAGCAATCCTGTTTCTACAAACTGTTGTTTGACCACCACTGATGTGCCATGGCATGCACATGGGTTGCACACACAGAGACACATACACAATAAACAAACAAATAAACAAATGTAAGAAAAAGACAGACCCCCAAGACCACCCCTGCTCTGGGGCCTGGGTGTCTGCATACACAGTATGTATGGAGATAGCACTTTTTAAAAAGTTACAACTTGCTTAATTAACCACAAGGTCCTGGGAAATTGAGTTTTAAGAAAAATTTGGATAATTGGACCAGCATATAATATCAAGAATGTTAAATACACAAGTCAGCTGAGCTCGCGGAGTTTACAGCAATCTCTGATTAAAACGAAGTTTCTGATAATCAAAGTTTTAATGGCAGAGACTCATTTGAATTTCTTCTGTATAGAAGGGAGATTGGATAGTATGTGTGCAGAATATCTTGTGATATTTCCCCATTCTCTTTAGTTCCAGTGAGGGCACAGAAATGCTTTTTTAGATATTTATTTCAAGAAAATAAAATGGAGGGGGGTGTCCCTTGGTTTGTCCCAGGCTAGCTAAAACAGGACTTCATGCAAATCGGAGGAGAGGGAGAGCTTGCCTATCAGCTAAGCCCTTTCAAAAATCAAAGCTCTCCCAGGCACACCAGAAGCCTAAAGCAGCCAAGAGATAGGCCATGTTTATAAATGTCCATAATATGTTTATGGCGAGGATGTCAATTACTCAATATCCCTGCCCTCTTGGGTCTGAGATCGGAATATTTTCACAAAAAGAAATCTGTGTTTTACTGCATTTACCGCATCATAATTCCAGATGTCTGTAAGATTCCAGCGCCAGGCGTGGGGTAGGGGAGAGAGACAACAAAGCTGTGGGGAATTCTGTCACATTCTAGTCCAACTGGGAGGTAGCAGCAGCAGCAGGGGTGGTGTGTCGCCTGTGGTTGGCTTGTTCTTCCTCCTCGTCTTCATGGTCAGGAGCCGTCATTGCAATCAGGGGAACCGGCTGTTCCCAGCTTCAAGCAGGCTTTCCTGTCTGCCTCTGGAAACCTGACACGTCACAGCAGAGAGTATTTCTTAATGAAATGGCTGCAGTGTGCCTAATTTACACCAGGACAGAAAACGCCGACTGGGCACAAAGGCCACTTGTTTCTGCTGCGGTAGGGAACACATATGGGCCACATCAGTCACAAAAGAATGGGAGTAGCTTTGCAAGGTAGCCTGCTCAGAGAATTGCCTTCTTTCTCACTGACTCCTAGAAAGTGAGAGAGATATTTACCGTGGGCTCACGCGCTGGCCTGTTCAGCCCTGTTTATTGGAACATGAGCCTGTGCTCCTGCAAGCATTTCTCCAGGTCTGCTCATGAGCAAGCACGTAGGAAAAACAGGCTGTGCCATGGAATTGTCAGTGGCATTTCTTCTCTCCTTTCTCCCAGGCTCTGCTGGCTAACACTGTCCAACACAGCACCCTAGTAAAGAAGGGCAGACTATTTTCTGGCATGTGCTGAAGCTGCAAGGGTGGGTTGCAGAGTTGGCCTCCATGACACTGTAAAGCCACCGGGATAGACTTCGCAACCCAGCAGACTATGTAACCAAAGGCTTGGGGTGGCGTTGCCAGGGAGGTCGGGGCTGTTCATGATCATTGAAGATTTGAGAGTCTGGTCTCTGTTCACCACAGGGGAAAGGTACCTGTCATGGCCAATAGCTCAGAGAGTGAGGACAAGAGAAGATTCTTCCCTGGCCTTTGTGCCAAAAAGTCTCTGAAGTAGGGAATGTACACCTCACTAATATTCAAAACATGTCTTTAAATTTTGTGGCAGGTTCTCTTGCAGCCCAGGCCTGCCTTGGACTTGTGTTACAGACAATGACCTTGAACTTCTGATCCTCCTGCTTCCTTATACCAAGTGTTGAGGTTCCAGGTGTGTGTCACCACCCCAGTTTGTCAAGTGCTAGGGACTGTACCCAGGGCTTTGTGCATGCTAGGAAGCACTCTATCAATTGAGATGCATCTCCAGGCCCACAAAACAACCCTGTGAGGGATAATGTGAACTCCCCCCCGCAAACACACACACAAGTCAGACGCTTGAGTCCTAACCCTGGTGGGTAGCTCACATTACCTCACCGCGAATCAGACCATAAAGAGGAGATGGAGCTAAAACATTTCAGTAGGCTGAGTTCCCATCCAATCTGACTGGTGTCCTTAGCAGAAGGGTAAATGTGGACATAGATGTGTACAGAAAAAAGAGAAGGCGGTTAGAGACAGGAGGACAGAGCCATCTGTAAGCCAAGGAGAGGCCTAGGATAGACAGTCTCTCTGAGCCTCTGGAGGAAACCGACCTTAAGCCAATGGCAATGGCTGTGCGCTTTGTCACAGGAGCTCCAGTGAATTAATGCAGGTGGGAAGAGAATGCCCCCACTTCACAACTCCCATTTGTATTACTTTGGTCAGCTGACTGATGGAGCCAGATGTTTTACTCAGTTGGGAGAGAATGCTACCCTTTGTCCTGTGGCTCTGCAGTGACCTCACTCTGGGTGGGAATTACTGCCCGACCCCCTCAATGCAACTGGCCTTGATAGGATGTCTTGCAGAATACTGGCAGACTAGGCTTTCTCTCTCTCTCTCTCTCTCTCTCTCTCTCTCTCTCTCTGTGTGTGTGTGTGTGTGTGTGTGTGTGTGTGTACATGAGCACAGGTACCCTTGGAGACAAGAAGAGGGTGTCATGGTGCTGGGAACTGAACTGAACAGGGTTTCTCTTCCATAGTCGTGCTGTTAACCCCTGGGCTGGCACTCAAGTCGCATGAGCAGACATTTGAAGCACACTCTGTGGTATGATATATCCTCTTGGGCATCAGGAGCTAAGCTTGCCACCCTCCAGCCAGGACTTGCCAAGCCTGGCCAAGATGTGCTGAATCACAGCCTTTCAGGAGTGTAGCATAGGAAGAAGGCTTCTGCTTCTGAGCCATTGAGCTTCAATGTGTTTCTTCTGAAGCGTTATCAAAACTGCAATAGCTGGGCAGTGGAGCCACACACTTTTAATCCCAGTACTTGGGAGCAGAAGCAAGTGGATCTCTGAGTTCGAGACCAGCCTGGTCTACAGAGTGAGTTTTGGGACAGCCAGGGTTACACAGAAAAACCTTGTTTTGGAAAACAAAAACAAAAACCAACCAAACAAAAGCAGCTGCAAATTACTATGTCACCAAAAGAAAGCATGCGAATGCCTCTGGCTCATTCCTCAAGCTGAATGTCAGCACTCAGCATCTAGTGTGGCAGATGAGGGTCCTGTTGAGCCCTAAGCTGTGCCATTGACAGAATCTCTTCTCGCAATTTTTCCACGTTCAGCAAATGGCTGCTACCAGTACCACGTTGAGTGGCTTTGTAGGTGATAACATCTAACTAAACTAATCCTCACAAAACAGGCAAGGGGCTTAACAGAGTTCCCAAGAAACATGACAGAAGACAGGGGTGCCAAAATAGGCAAGAGAAAAAGAGGCAGCAGCCACAGTCTCAGTCACATGAGAGCTCTGGAAAGTCACACTCTTGAGTAGGAAGGGCTGTCATCAGCTTTGACAAGGTGTACATTTTAAGCTTCTTTTATTAAAAATTGATTCATTTTATATATATGGGTGTCTTACGTGTGTTTTCGTGCACCTGCTTGGTCCTCAAGGGGGCCAGAAAATGGAGTGTGGTCCCCTGGGACTGGAGTTGCAGATAGAGTTACAGACAGTTGTGAGGCGCCCTGTGGGTGCTGGCAATCCAACCCCGATCCTTGGGAAGAGCAGCCAGTGCTCTTAATTGTTGAGCCACCTGTTGCAAATTAACAAGCTCGACCTCTATTGTTAACCCAGGGCACATAACTTTAACACCAGCACTTGGGTGCCGCACTGACTGCTTCAGACTGACTGCTAAAACTGATTGCCTAGACTGCACTGAGCTCCTGTCTCCTCCCTCCTTATATTCCTCTCTCTGCCCAGCCATATCACTCCCATCTCCACCTCCCTAGTACTGGGATTAAAGGCGTGTGATCCCAAGTACTGGGATTACCTCTGTGTGAGCTCTGTTTCTCCTTTAGACAGATTCAGTCTTGCGTAGGCCAGGGTAGCCTTGAACAAGGACCATCTGCCACCAACTTCTGTGACCTGAAATTAAGGGTGTGTGCCACCACTCCCTGGCCTCTAGTGGCTTAGTTCTGCATTCTGATCATCGGGCAAGCTTTATTTGTTAAAACACAAACTATCGCTACACTTGGGAGGCAGAGGCAGGCAGATCTCTATGAGTTAGAAGCCAGCCTGCTCTACATAGTGAGTTCTATCTAGGACAGTTTCACTACCGAGAGAGCCTATCTCAAAACAAACAGTGAGTGCATGTGGTTTCCTGCATGAGACAGCAGAAGACATCTATTGTTGTAATCCAAACACTTTTTGCTATGGAATAATCTTTTTGTACTCTGTAAGGATGTGTCTCTGCCTAAGACACCTTCTGACTGGTTTAATAAAGAGTTGAATGGCCAATAGCTAGGCAGGAGAGAATAGGTGGGATTTCCGTGGAGAGAGAGGAACTCTGGGAAGAAGAATAGCAGAGAGAGGTCATTGAGACATGGAGGGAGTTAGATATACAGAATAGAAGAGAGGTAAAAAGCCACGTGGCAAAATGTAGATTAATAAAAGCAGGTTAATTAAGTTCTAAGAGCTAGTAGGGAATAAGCCTAAGCTAAAAGCCAAGCTGTCACAGTTAGTAAGCCTTCGTGTCATCATTTGTTGACTGGCAATTCTAGGAAAGTCTGATGAGAAAGTCTGATTACAACTTTTCATATGTAGTATAAATAAATATAATCCTCCACAATATCTGAGGAGTGGTGCTCCAGGACCCTTTGTAGACACTAAAATCTCTGAATGCTTAAATTCCTTGTATAAAATATGTCATGTTTGCATAGAGCCTTTATACTGCCTCCCATCAATCCTAAAGTTCCTCTAGGTTACCTATCACACCTAATACAATGTAAATAATATGTAAAAGGTTGTTGTACTATATTCTTTAGGGAATGATAGCAAGGAAAAAATGTCTATATATGTTGAGTATGGGTGCTATCTTTTACTGACTACATTTTACCCAGGGCTGACTGAACCCACAAATACATAGTCTATGCACACAAAGAACTGACAGGACATGTGGAGCAAGGAGGGCATCAAAAATATTTTGTGGTTGGGGCTGAGAACACTTGAAAGTGAGGTCAGCATGCCAAGCAGATGCGGTAACTTGCTGGGTGAACTGTTGTCTTGAGGAGATACTACAAAGCTGTCACTGAAGTAAGAAACCCATCCCCTAGCAGCACACTGGGAGGAGTCACAGGCTCTTGGGTGTGCCTTTTGTCTTCAGGCTGCTTCTAAAGCTTGAGGGGAGAAAATGATGTCACAGAAAAAGTAAGGACACCTGTTAGTGGGAAGTTTGAAAAATACCGCCTGGAGTCAGGCACTGGGTGGTAGGGGCGGCGCCCTGGGGCCCTCACAGAGGGAGCAAAGGTGTGGCTCGTTGTCCAGAGGCCTCAGAAAGTTCTAAAAACAGCATGCTATTTCCTTTTCCTGACACATGAGCCCAGCAGCATCATGGAGCATGTGGGCCACACCCCAGTCTGAGCCTGAAGCTCTCTGTTCTGCCCATTGCTTCCTTAGCTTCTGTTGGAGAGTCTTGCTCAGGACAGCAGACACTGAGTGGCCAGGCTATGTCCACCTCTGGTTTAACAAGCGTGTCAAGTAATCCTGCCCATTACTTGCACTCTGGGAAGAATAGTCCCCCCTAGAGCCAAGTCTGCTTGCGTGTTGGGTACTCACACATGCATTGTCCTCTCTTGAGGATTTGGGCCACAACTTAAAGAGGTGAGGCAGAACCTGCGAGGGGAATCAGGTGCAGTCCTGGGACTCGGGTCCATTTTCCTCCAGGGTTTTCCAGGGCTGTTGGGTAACTGTGATTCAAAGATGGAGGGAGAGCCCTGGTCAACCCTGATATGAATTATTAAGAAATGTCACATTCACGGGGAACCTCCCATGTAGTTGTAATTTTTTACTCTTTGTGAGGAGCCTGCCACAGCACCCAAATAAACACACAGAGGCTTATTCTTTTATGAATGCCCGGCCATGGCTTGACCAGCTAAGTTTCTACACAGTTTTTCGTATCTTGAATTATCCCATCTATCTTTTGCTCCGGGCTTTTGCCTTTCCATATAGCTTTCTTTACCTCTTACTCCAGGACGTGCCGTGTAGCTGGCGGCTGGCCCCTGGACTCCTCCTCTTTTTGTTCCTCAATCTTCTCTTCCCAGATTTCTCCTCCCACTTATTCTCTCTGCCTGGCAGCCCCATATATCCTTTCTCCTGCTTCACCATCGACCGTTCCCCTCTTTATTAGACCAATCAGGTGTTTTAGACAGGCAAAGTAACACAGAGTCACAGAGTTAAACAAATGCAACATAAAAGAATGCAACACAAAAAAATGCAACACATCTTTGCATCATTAAACAAATGATGCATCATTTTGCATCATATTCCAGATGCAAAATAATAACATAAAAGAATGTAACACATCTTAAACTAATATTTCACAACACTTCTATACCTGGGAATTGCTGCAGAGAAACTGGGCAGAGAGAATGAGAAGGGTTGGCCCAGTCAGGGCTCACACACTGAGCATTGTTTCTGTGTATTATGGAAGGGACTTGTGTCCAAGTAACTCCTTCCCCACCCACAGAAGACCCAAGAGGAGGAGCTGGCAGATCTAAGTCTCCAGCCTGCTGTGGCTGGGCAGGGCTGCGGTGAGATGTGATGCATAGAGAGGAAGAGGGTCAGGGCAAGCTGGCATCTTCTGGGCACACTGCCTCTAACTATGAGACCAACTCAAAAGACTTCTGGCAACCTGATTAACCTCCATATGGGGTGATTTCAGCCTAAATGACGCAGACAGAGGAGACTGGAAGGTTCCAGGGGATTGTATTCCGCACCGCAGGGAGTATATGCACGTAGAGTCCGAAGGAGGACATTGAGTGCCTTGCCTTATTCCTTTGGGATAGGGTCTCTCCCTAAATCTGGAGCTAGGCTGGTGGCCAGAAAGTCCCACCTCTCCTCCTTCCCTGCCACACAGTGCTGGGGTTACTGGCTGTAGCATGAGGGCCGGCTTGTTGGGGTTTCTGTCCAGCCCAGTACCCCAACAGCCGGCAAGCAACAAAGAAAATCACACACAGGACTCCATAAGGTTATAAACTGATTGGTCCATTAGGTCAGGCTTCTTGTTAACTCTTATAACATATATTACCCCATTATCCTTATCTATGTTAGCCACATGGGCTCAGTACCTTTCTCAGTGTGACAGCTTACATGTTGCCTCTTTGGTGGTCTGTGCAGGAATGGCGGAGCGACTTTCCTCCTCTGTAGCCTTATTCTAGTCTCATTGCCCCGCCTCTACTTCCTGTCTGGTTGACCCACCTATACTTCCTGCCTGGCCAATCAGCATTTTATTAAAATATGATTGACAGAATACAGACAATTCTCCCGCACCAACTGGCACACGTGACTACGTGTGTATTATTACTAAGGTTCTGGGGATTTGAACTCAGGCTCTCAACTTGTACAGCAGGTTCTCCTCTCCAAGCCGTCTCCCCAGCCCGAGACCGCGTTCTTCAAAGAACTTCCTGTTATTGAACTGCATTGTGTCACCCCAAAATTCCTGTTGGTGATTGGAGCCCAGACTGCATTTGAAGACGGAGACAACAGAGCGTTAAGTGCAGTGAAATCCGGACGTGGAGCTGGGGGCCTAAAGCAGTGGGGCTGTTGATCTTATTAAAATAAGAAAGGATTGACTGTGGTGGGCCATCTCTATGACCCCAGCTCTTGAGAGGAAATAGGAAGACAGAGAGTTGGCTATCCTTGGCCACTTAGGGACCAAAACCAGCCTGGACTATGTGTGACTCTATCTCAAACCAAACTAAACAAACAAACAAAACTAAAGGGAATGCACACCACAGTTGCGACAGGGAAGAGCTCAAAAGAGGGTGCAGGAAGATGGCTGCCAATTGTCCGCAAGCCAGAAATAGAGACTTCACAGGCACCATCCCTGCCAGCACCTTCGCCTTGGACTCGCAGCCTCTAGAACTGTGGGATAGAAGTTGATTAAGCAGTCCAGTCCTGTCACAGAATTGTCAAGTCAACAAAGAGGATCACCACATCTTCCATCCCACAGATTCTTACAACATGATGAGAAGCCAAGGACAATGCCACACCCAATGGTGAGGTCTACATCCACTGACTGCCCTTGAGCTTGGTCCGGCCTTCATGACTGTCCCAGACAATACTAGAGGTGAAGCTACGTGACTTTTAAAGACTTTTGTTATTATTATTATTTTTGAGACCGGGACTCTCTATGTAGTCCTGGCTGCCCTAAAGCTACCTATGTAGAATGGGTTTCCTCAGACTCACAGAGATTCTCCTGGTTCTGCCTTCCAAGTGCTGGGATTAAAAGCATGTGCTGCCACACACAGCTAGCCCCGTCTTTTTAGATTACATTTATCTATCCGAGAGTATGTGTGGGTGTGCGTGCACACACATTCGATATAAAAATATGTGGGGGTCAAAAGACTACCTGTGGAAACGGGTTCTCTTTCCTCACACCATGTGGGACCTGGCGAATCAGGCTTAGTATCGGCACCCTCCTACCCACTGAGCCATTTCACTGACCCATGAGTCCCCTCTTTTTAAAGGTACCCCAGAGATGCCTTATAGAAGGGACTGAAGCTTTGCCCAGGCTGGGAGCAAACTAAAGCACATTGGGAACAATTGGTGGTGTTTTCAGCCGCTGCTTGGGAGGCTGCTTTATTACATAGCAATATGGAGCAAAGGGCCCCAGAACAAGTTCATCCAGGAGACCACCTGGAGAGAAGCAAAGATGTCAGTATAAGCAGGCTTTCTGGTTTGTGGGAGCTTTTGGTTGTTTCAGACCAGCAAATTGGGTAACACCTGGACATTGAACATGGCTACAGGCCACCGAATGAGCATTTCTCCTATAGTCACACCCACAGTGACAATTTCTATTCTTTGGGTGCCGGAAAATCTTCCTGAAAAGAAAGGTTTCTCTCTCTCTCTCTCTCTCTCTCTCTCTCTCTCTCTCTTTCTCTTTCTTTTTTCCTCCCTCCCTCCCTCCCTCCCTCCCTCCCTCCCTCCCTCCTTCCTTCCTTCTTCCTTCCTTCCTTCTTTCTTAATATAAATCAGCCTTCAGTTGCAGCTCACAGAGGATATGCAAGCAGAGAGAAAATGGTGGAGTGGAGGTTGAGCTGGAGGCTAGAATAATTAAAGGGTAAATTCCACGTTTGCATTTGGTATTTATAGAATTTTCCATGCTTGGCATGAGGGTTTTAAAACCGGGCTACACAGGGATGCTCTTTCAGCCCTGAAAAGAGGAAAAGGGATTTTTGCACAAGATACTGAACCTGCCTAGTTCAAAGTTTTCAAAGGCAGCGTAATCAAGAGGCTTTGTCGCTTCACATGAGTCTGGGAAGGAGAAGAGAAGGGAGAACAGAGGCTGGAAACACAGCGGAGCCAAACAAAGCTCTGCCTCCAGATCAGGCACCCAGGGAGTCCTTGCGGCCTCTAAAGTAGATATTTTTGTGAGGTTTCATTTTGTTTATGCTTATGTAGTATGTGCGTGTGTGTGTGTGTGTGTGTGTGTGTGTGAGAGAGAGAGAGAGAGAGAGAGAGAGAGAGAGAGAGAGAGGTTAGCCCAGAAAAGCAGATTTTTGTTTGGTTGGTTTTTTTTTTGATCTGGGTTTTGGGACTGGGAAATTGAATGTAGGACCTTACATATACTAGACAAATGCTCTACCACTGACTATATCCCTAGGCCTCTTTCCTTCCTTCCTTCTTTCATTCATTCTTTTTTTTTCTTTTTTAAATTTCCAACATAGGGTTTGTCTGTGTAGCCCTGGCTGTCCCAGAACACGCTCTATAGACCAGACTGGCTTTGAACTCACAGTACTGAGGTTAAAGGTGTGTGGTACCACTGCCCAGCTGCCCTTTTAATTTTTATTTTATTATTTTATTTTATTTTTATGTCTTGTTATGAGGCAATCTTGCTAGGTTTCTTGGGCTAGTTTTGCTTCCGTTCTGTAGCCCAGATAGGCCTAAACATAATCTTCCTGTTTCATTATTCCGAGTAGCTAGAATCACAGAACTAAGCCACTACATCTCTTCTGCTCACTGTTGTCCGGAAAATAAAAATTACTGTTTCTATCACTTGCCAGGAGCAGAAGTAAGCTGGGTCCCATGCAAGCATGTTATGTTTACGTGAAGGCAGACATAGGGATGTTGCCCTCCCAGGTGTCAGCTGGAGTTGAGGCCAAACATCGGAATTCACTTCTACTTTTCTGTGCATTTCTTTTGCCTACCACCCCACCTCATCCCCTTTTTAGCACTCTACCTCTGAGCAACTCTCCTGTCTTTCAGCTCCCCATACTTGTTTTCAGGACGCAGCTGTGCCCTGTGGCTTTCTGGAAGTATTGTTGTCAGTGGGAGGGGAGAAAATCAGAGAAAGAAAGGCTAGGGTGTGTTATTGGTTCAGAGTGATGCCCCCAGTCATGCCCCATACACCTGGAACAGGTTGTCTGAATGTGGCCTCTGCATTGCTCTCTGATGGACTGTTAGCACAACTACTGAGAAGAAGGCTTGTAGAGATCACGTCGCAAGTGGAAACTAGGAGGGTATGCTGGGACTTTAAATGGGAGATCCCATTTCCACACTGCCAGTGGTGATGGCACAGCAGTGAAAAGGGTGGATTAGGGTGACACCCTGGCACACACCTGAAATTCTAGCACTCAGAGGTAGAGGAAGACAGATCTCTGTGAGCTCAAGGCCAGCCAGAGCTACATAGCAAGACCCCCATCAAAAAGAAAAGAAAAAGCACAATCTATCATCTAGACATGGCATTTCATATCTCTAATACCAGTGCTTGGGAGGCTGAGGCAGGAGGGTTGCCATGAAGTCAAGGCCAGGCTGGGCTACATAGCAAGTTCCAGACCAACTTGAGCTGTAGCGTGAAACCGTGTCAAAAAAAAAAAAAGACAAAATAAAAATGGACTGTTTAAACCAACACAGAGCACCCGTCACAGATCTTCACAGTCACCCAAAGGTGGCAGTAACCCAAGCATCTACCAGCAGATGAATGGATAAACAAACCGTAGTGCAACCATGGAACCATGGAACTTATACTACATGACTAATGGAATATTAGTCAACTTATTAAAGAAGGACGTCCTGGGCTGGAGAGACAGTACAACGGGTAAAACACTTGCCACCAAGCCTAGTGACTTGAACTGGATCCCTAGGATTCACATGGTGCAGGAGAAAACTAACTCTCACATGTTGCCCTCTGATCTTCACAAATCATGCTGTGGCACATACATGTATGCCCACACAATAAATAACTGTTTTTCTGAGTTAGGGGAGTTCTAATACATGCTACCTTGTTGAACCTTGAGGACATTATGTTAAGTAAAATGAGCCAGACAAAAAGACAAATACTGCATGGTCCCACTCACGTCAGAGCCTAGAGCAGGCAAAGTCATACATTTAGAAAGTAGAGTGGGAGTGGCCAGGGGCCGGGGGAAGGGCAAAGGGCAATGAATAGCAAATGAGGACAGAGTTTCAGTTAGAAAAAACTGAAAACGTTCTGTAGATGGATGGAGTGATGGCCACATGATGATGGGCATAGAATGTGTGTGCACAGAGCCCTACTGGACATGGACCTGGTGCATTGGTGCACATCTGTTATCCCAGCACTAGGGAGACAGAGGTCAGAGGGTCAGTGCAAGTTCCAAGCCAGCCTGGACCTTTGTGAGGAAAGCCAGTCTCAAAAGAGAAAAACAAAGACTAAACCGATAAATTTTATAGCCAACATATTTTGCAATAAAAATTAATTCTTTGAGATGAGGATCAGGTGGGTTGGCTGTGAGGCAGGGGACTGAAGAACAACAGCTTAATGGAACAGACATAATTTATGGAGGTGAAAATGTTCTGGAACCAGGTAGAAGTGGTGTTTGCATGGCCGTGTAAATGTACTAATGCTACTGAAGTGTTCATTTGAAAATGGCTAATTTTGCCTCGGTTTTTTAAACAGTGGATTAGGAGGGGGGTGAACGGGAACATAAAAGCTCTTTAAGGTACTACAGTAAGGGACTGCAGATGAATCCATTTGGATTTCTGAAAACAAAACAATATAACAGAACATTGTTCCAACAGTTTGTGCAACCCATGTTTTATGTGTTTAGGGAAAACCTGTCTGATAGAAATGCTATCACAAAAAACTGATTGTTAACGAGCCGGAGTAAAACTTTTGCCCTTTTCTTAGGACTTATG